TGTATAAGGCATAGAGCGAAACTTTGGTCGTCGTTGGCATCGGAACCGATGACAAATGCTGCGATAATGGAGTACGTGATGAAAATAACCCACACGAGCGATGCTGTTATGATGATGAATCTCTTTTTGAAAGTAGTTTGGTATTTTGCTGGCTTAACTATTTTGTAATATCTGTTGATTGCCATGAGCACCATAGTGTATATAGAGATTTTCGCCAGGGAATACTTCACAATGGCAGACAAATAGCACAGGGAAGTCCCAAACGGCCATCCACCGGTGGCTAAGAAAGCAACAGATAGTGGCATTGTGCACAGAGCTTGTAGAATGTCGCTCAAAGCCAAGGAGATGATGTAGTAATTACTTGGACAGCGTAGCCTCGGGTTTCTGTACACAGCAAAGCAGACCAGGAGATTTCCAACGAGTGAGAGAATCATCACCAGCGCTAATATGGCAGTTTCTGAAACCACAGTCGCTGTGTTTCTATCTTCAAGGTTCTGAGCCATGTTGTCTGGTGTTTACTTAGCTAACAATTTGTCTCGTACACGTTTCCTTGAAAAGTCGTTTAGATGAAACTCAAGGCCTCGGTGTTTCTGCCTTTCAGCAATAGTGTTTAAACCTGTTACACTTCGCTGCAACAGTAATTCTTAATTTCCCGGACGCCGTTTACGATCGCAAGGCAAAAGTGTAGTGTTCGTTTGCCGTGAAATGAGAGTCTATGTAATTCATGAACTGAATTGATTTAACAGTTGCTGTAGGGGATATCGACCACGTTAAGCTCGTAAGTAATAGCAAACATTGTTTTTGTTATTTAAATGTTCAAAACGTTAAACAAAAGGAATCTGTATTTTACCAGCAAATAGTTCTTTGGTAGGCGTATTTATAACAATAGGTGACGTCACTAATATTTTTCCTATCTATAACTAAGGGCCAAGGGACTGGCAAAATTTGTTCGCTAAAACAAGGTTCCGTTGTATCGGGGTTCTTTTCTATATATTTTACTCTCATTGGAGCCAGGAAAAGCGTTCGTTATGCCGAGGACTTCGTTATCTAGAGGTCTTTTAAATCGAGGATCCACTGTATTTGAATGTACCAAATATAGTTTTTCAATAAGTAAACTTCTGACAAAAAGTACAGAACACCCTACCTAACACTTGACAGGCGCTCTATTGTGCTCACAACCAACTGTAATTTTCGAATGTTCATCCTGATTTCATATTCAAACAATCCTCCAAGCCCTTTCCTGGTGAAACTCAAAATAAATGACCTTTTTATCTGGATTTTAAAACGGAAACAAGTTCCACGTTTATCAATAACTTATAAATTAATTTCAAGATGTAAATTTTAATTGCAATAATATACCCACGCTGTTCCACCAATCATATAAAATTTAGAATGCTATCAAAATGGTAATTTCTCGGGTAGCATTGTGCAGTGTTTTAGTGGAACTGTTGACATGGTGGATCATAGTGATTCGATCTAAAATGTGCCCTGTGGCCATCTCTTCTAACAATCTTCTCTCCGGCTACACCCGGTTTACGCAGGTTTTTTTTTTGTCTGAGTCACCTCAGCATGCAAACATGCAGTCTCTTTGCATGGAGATAATGGTGGAACAAACAAACACAAAAATGATAAATAAAAAAGATTTTCAAGTTTTTTAAAGCCTAGTGATTTCCAGCGCCTCTCTCGATCAGATTAATGGTTGAAAATGTCGTAATGTCTATTTTTCTACACCTGTTCGCGATTTACCTGACGTGGGAAAATAAAACCACGCAGGGTTCAAGACTGGTGACGCTTTTCTTTTCAAATTGGCGATAGTATCTATCTCTATCTTCTGCACTAGAGACACACTTTTACAGTGAGTCATTGTTAATGCTTTTAATGATTTCAACATCATGTACGGTAACCTACGAGGGAACTAAAATGGTGGAATTAACACAAAAATTAAATTAATTAAATGGTGGAATTAACACAAAATATATATTCAGTAGTAGGCCAAATAATGCATCGAATGGACTAGCAGCAACATAAATACCACTCTTTCCGTTGAACGATTCAATGGGTTCTACATAATTTTTAATATAGTCATCTCCACAAAACGTACAGTCAGCTATTCCCCTTGGAGTGCACGGGTAACAAAGAAGTCTAACTGTAAATGGTTTGAATGAGAACCGTTTGTAAGCTAATTCTCTTGTGATTAAACATTGAAGAAGGAACCTGACATTACCCAAACCCCCATCCCCCCTCCCCCCATCACCACTTCCTATGCCCCTCTTGCGAGTAGCAAGTAATAACATGGTAAGAACCATATGATAGCACACAACCCGCGTAGGTTTTTACCAGTTTTGTACTTACAAATGATCTAAATCAGTTCGATTGTTGTCCTTTCATGTTTGCTTATATGGATTCAGAAAACTCAGTCAACTCGGCTACTGCATATTTGATATTTTCGTTGTGGATGAAAACAAAGCTGAGGGATTAAAAGGGTTGGTTGACACCCCTTATTTGTCCACTGGGGAGAGATTCGCGATATAGTTACAACTTCCAAATAGAAAGAAAACCATTTTTGGATACACTGGGAGATTGAAGGGACTTACTATGGGTCTGCCTCGTATATCTGTAATTTTTAAGAATTGTTTTCATTGGGTTACCCATTATGGTATATGATCCATTATACCATGCTCTACAAATATGGTGAGCGTACGCGTAGTTTTTGGGACGTTTTTATTTTAGTTTAGTGTTCTATATTTTGGCGGCGTTTTTTAGCCGAATTTATCTATACTTAGATAAATTTGTTTCGTTCGCATCCACAGTGTCATTTTTCCCATTAATAACATTCACATCTACCAAAGAGCGAGTGAAAAAAGAGGATTACCCCGATTCTCGGGATAAGATAAATCAATAAATCAATAAATCAATAAAATATAACGAACAAACCACCCGTTGATCTGAAAGTTTTTTAGTTTGTGACTAATTGGAACCTGTACCCACTGATTGCGGCTTTCTTGGTATCCAGCACTTCTTGAACTCATTTCTTAAGGCACGGTTCATAAAACCACAAATGAAGGGATTTAAGCAGCTTGATGTAGAAACTAGGAGTGTTCCTATGAGTGAAATTACACAAGGGAAATTAAAACTATCTACTATTAAATACGAAGGAAGCAAGATGATATTAGCTGGAATCCAAAGAATGACAAACCCGAAAACAGTGGCGAAAAGAGTTTTGCCGATGTTGACTTCTTCTGCATTCAAATTCTGCCACGAAACATCAGCATTGTGCATTTTAACAACTTTTTAAATTTTCCAGTAACAGAACATGATGAAAAAAAATGGCGTGTTCTGAAAAATGATCAGAATTGAAAAATATAACTTTTTAGGCTCTATCTTGCAAATGGCAAAACCTGAATAAAGACTGACGTTGAAGCCGAAAGCAAATACTGTGAGAATGGAGTTCAAAATGGGTGCAATCCAGGCAAGTGCTCCAGTTACAAAGATGAACTTTTTTGTAAAAGTGTTTTGATACTTAGCTGGTTTCACTATTAAGTCATATCTGTTCAATGCCGTGTATGTCGTGGTAAAGATAGAGGTCGACGTTAGGGATAACATGGAAATGACCATGAACTCCCATGGATTTCCAAAAGACGAAAGAAACATCACCAAGGAGAATATAACAGTTTCCAAAGCCACCGTCGCCGTTTGTCGTTGATCAAGTATTTGCCACAAATTTTCAGAGCGTTCGTTTGCGTGATCGATTGGTAGTGTGTTTTAATCTCCATACTTCAAAGAGTATTTAATTTACCTTGTTAAGGTTTCCCTTGGCTGTTAGAACATTGAACCTGATTGATTGAACCTTCGAGTGGCGACGCCCATGTTGAGATTGACTTACAGCTACAATCCTGGACAAACGTTTTGGGACAAATTTGCACTTTTGGTGCTTTTGGGCACGCGCCAGACGACCCCCACCCCCCTTACAATGTTGAAAACTACTACCTGCAATTTTTTTCTGATTTTCGACATTGTATTGGGTGGAGAGGGCGAAGAGCAACTCGCTTTTAAAGGAAAGCAGCGCTTTTTTCAAACTTCAGTAATAAAACACAGATTATTCGTTAAATTACATGTGTCCCAAGGACTTTTGTTCACGATTGTAGCTTGCTTTCCATAAGAAACGGCACATAGCAAGGCACTTCAATCAACGCTTAAAAATGAAGCCCAGAACTTAAAATAAGTGCTTGAAAAGCAGGTGTTTGCGTGGTCTGAATAAAGCTTAACAATAGGTTAGCAAAACTTAATTTAATTTAGAACATCAGTATCAATTATATAATTTAAATTTAAAAATGATAAATTTTACTGAGAACTTTGAACGTAAGCATTTCTTTCTACAGTCTTCTTGATACATCCACAAAATGGTAGAGTTGATGTTCATTCGAGTAATAAAGCCTTCGTCTAGCAGTGCCCACCCTAATAAATATACATTTCCTGGTTTCATATATTATTCATAGCTGGAGTTTCGTCTTTGGCATTCGCCTCGTTTTTTCTATTTTTGATTTTGCAACTTATTGCCCTGCGTACTTCCTTCATGCTTCGGCATTTACAATCTGTAATTTCTGAGAGCACTAAGTCTACTAAATGGAAAAAGCTGGTTCCTATTTGCCTTATTTTGTTTGTCTTATTTTCCTTTGTTTCTATACCAAGTTTTAATTTTGGAGATGGCATATATTCATAACGTTTTCTTTACGCCCCATTATGCCTAGACTGCACTCATTGTGTTGGTTGAGCTCGGTTTCCGGGAAGAGAAATTACGTGGCACACTCTGCCATCTTTTGGCCACCGAAGTGGCCGTTTATTTTTAGTAACAACCATGCCCAACTCAGATGAAGCTTACTTTAAATGAAACTGTTCTCAGAAAAGATGAGGGGAAAACCCGAACGCGTGCTATAAATATTTTTCTCGTAAAAAAACAGGGATGGGTGTGTGGGGAAAATCTAGTTGGCTTCGCCGTGAATGCTTAAGGAAAAGAGCTGAGGACGAATGTAGCCCCGGGAATGTAGCTCATCTGCGCCTTATAACAAGGAGTAATGTTGCAAGATCGTATAACTATCACCTGACCGGAGGCCTGAAGAGATTCACTGACCATAAGGAGCTTAAAATCATTTATTTGCTAACTAAATATCCTTTAGTTACAACTGAATGAAGTTCACTTGTCGAAACAAAAATAGCTTTAAAACATTTAGTTCAGAAACACGGCCGAACGCAAAGTCGTTCTTTAGTAACTATGAATGTATATTGTCAGTCACACACTTTTCTTTTATTTCGATGAATATCTCAAAACTGAAAATGAAAAGGTGTTGTATCGCTTGTCCATAGTTTATGATAAGGAGCTTTAGTACAAGATAAGGAAACAATCCACCAAAAGAAAAGTATACGAACCATAGCAAAACCTCTGATAAAACTCGCTCATAGTTTAACTCCTAAGGGAATTTCAACTCGCCCACTCTCTACGAAATGTTGTCATTCAGTTAAACTGGCGCCAGCGAAAATAAAAGCAAACTATCTTCGAAAAACGCGTTTTGTCTTGCATGTTTTCGTTGCAAGGCTGCTTTTGTTTCTATATCGAGGGTTACATTCCAAAGCAGTATAATGTGACTTAATGTACAAAGAACACTTCAGATACGTGCAACGTTTAATACCTATTGATTTGGTTGAACTAAACAATCATTGAGGCTTTTCCTAGCACGGCATCTGTAGTTCTCCTGCTCTTTTGTATTTTCTCTTTTCTGAAATGAATGGATTAATTTGCTTTGTTTTAATGCTATGACAACCAAAACAAAAAACGGCGATACAAAGCGACACAAAGGAGAAAATAATAATAATATACATATTGTTACATATTAAAATTTCACTTAACTTTATCCGTGAAGACTAAAACGACCTTCAAAACACAAATGTAAATGC